CCCCTTTCAGCCGAAAGGCCATAATTATGGCGCAGCTAAATTTAGGGCCCCGGCAAGCGCCATGTGGGACTTGAAAAAAAAAACGAAAAAAAAAAAAAAAATGCATCAAACATGGGGACGCTTCATAAAAATAAACGAGACATGAAAAACTGATGAGCATGCAAACCTCCCGTTCTGGAACAAAACTAATGTCCAGAAGTGGACGAACAACCAGGCCTTTTCATCAGTTTCACGCCTGTCACGCAAAGACGAGAAGAAGACTTTACAGTAGTTAGATACCCTTATATAACTTGTTTACGAGTGGATGCAGCTTTGTTTAACCTGCTGGTCCCACGCCACTGGGCTACAACCGGATATCCGTGAGATGACAACAGAAGGATGCAAGTGAACATGGTGTCTGGGATTTCCTCCCGTGAGACTGTCATCCGAAACGTGACACTTGTGAGTCACTGGATGTTAATCTTTTACTATACAATCTTAGAAACGTGGTGGGGGGGGGGGGAGTTAAGCCATAATTAGACAGGAATGTATGCCATATGGTTGGTTCATGGGGTCAGAATGGAACTGAATCAGCTAGCAGCTACAGCGGACTATATAAGAACAGGAGGACCAGTATTGTACACTTTGATAGACAGACACAGTTATGTCAGTTGTATATTAGAAACATTAACAATAATATTATTCATCATCTCAGTACGTGACCATATCTTCAATTTGATTATCGGAGATCCATTTCAAATCCAGTGGATGAAGATAGCTGGGTCACATGGTCAGTCTTGCTTACGGCCAGAAGTACATGTGGCCGCCGGCGTACCGCGAAGATAGCCCAGCTCATATAACTCGCATGTTTCAAAGTGATGCTTACTATAACTCCTTGAAAGAAACTCCGTTAATTCTTCATTAACTTTAAGTTACCAATTTTCTTTGTAAAAAAAAGATTACACTTACGCAAAACCAGATATATATTTCGTGGCCAAAAAAAAAAATTACCGTTCACCGATCATGCTTCTATGGTAACAAAGCAACAGGATAACGTAAAGTGATCTAAATACAGTTAAACGAACGTGATATGTGTTTTCATTGTATGTAAATGTGTCAGTCTGATCAGATTTAGGCAATGTATATTGCTATTTCACCCCAGAGAATTACGGGTCTTAGCAATCTATAAGAAAAGTCGAAGACGAGTAAGCTCGTCCTTAGCAGTCTACCGGGCAGACGAGTTATCTCGTCCATAGCAGCGAAAGGGTTAAAGAATTGTTACAGAAACTATCCAGGGATTGCAGCGATGATATCAAACGTCGGTTCTGCTCATACAAAACATGCAGGTATATGAACAGCTGTCTCTCCTACCTGTAGTGACCTACTTGTCGGGCTGGAGTCAGGTGAGCGGTGTTTACTCTAACCTTGGTAAACGGCAGCCAACATGTGAGTAAGCTGACGGCCTTATCTACATGGGCTCTCTCTACAGGTAACGGGGAGGTGCATTCTGGGCAGGCAGCGAGCGGCTAGGCTAGCCAGCCTCAGACTTGTGAGTGTCCAAGTGTGTATTTGTTGGGGGATTGGGGGAAAAAAGGGGGGGGGGGGTTTGAAAGCGCTTGCGTCTGTGGGTGCATGCGAGATAGAGTGATGGGGTGTGAGTCTGTGTGCGTGTGAGAGAGGGAGAGAGGAAAGGAGAGAAGAAATGACAAACACAGAGGGAGAGAGAGGGAGAGAGATAACGATAAATAGAGATTGAGAGAGAGAGAGAGAGAGAGAGAGAGAGAGACAGAGAGAGAGAGAGAGAGAGAGAGAGAGAGATATTTAGAGAGACAGAGAGAAGAGAAAAACATGTTTAAGTCTTGTGGTATACCAGAGCTTGCGTGTTTACAAATTGCTGACAACCTTGAACATCAACAATTCTCTCAGGTATCATTAAATATAAATGAATGTAATTATATATAAATATTTACTTTGTTCTCAAGTTATATCGCACTTTTCCCCCCGGCTAACAATGCATTTTTTAAAATTCAAAGTATATAAATAGACTATGGTTCTGGCTGGATTGCGTTTTAAGAGTTTTGACAGGAAAAAATTCAAATGTACAAGCGATATTTCACAAATACGCTTGTTTCGCGTACATTCTGAATATCACCACAAGAACTGAGGTGAACAGTTTCGAAATGAGTTATTAAATGAATGACCTGGGTTATTTCCCAGTCTCGTGACAAGTTGTAAAGGCATAACTTATGTGGTTAGGGTACGGTAATTCATGACAGTACTGTAAAATTTGTTTTGTTAATTGACTAAAAATGTACAAGTTATGAAAATAACAAAGCAAATATCCGCTTCGATAGAACTTGGCAGTTGAAATATTATTATGTATAAAACATTAAATTCGAGATGAAAATAGGAGCTCATTCCCCAGACTTGTGTCCACAAACTGTGTTATTGCAGAACTGAGGCAGTATCTGTCTGTTTATCGTCATGTCTCTAGGATGGGAACAGTACCTGCCTACACTGCCTGTTGTAACATCAGGGTCCTTATCCTGCTGCTCACTGAGTGTCCTTACATCGGCGTCCTCATCTGGCCTTCTCACTAAGTGTCCTTACATCGGGGTCATTCTTCACCTGCTTGGTCACTGAGTGTCCTTATATCGGGGTCATCCTTCACGTGCCTGCTCACTAAGTGTCCTTACATCGGGGTCATTCTTCACCTGCTTGGTCACTGAGTGTCCTTATATCGGGGTCATCCTTCACCTGCCTGCTCAATGAGTGTCCTTACATCGGGGTCATTCTTCACCTGCCTGCTCACTGAGTGTCCTTACATCCTTATTCTGTCTGCTCACTGAGTGTCCTTACATCGGGGTCATTCTTCACCTGCCTGCTCACTGAGTGTCCTTATATCGGGGTCATCCTTCACCTGCCTGCTCACTGAGTGTCCTTACATCGGGGTCATTCTTCACCTGCCTGCTCACTAAGTGTCCTTACATCGGGGTCATCCTTCACCTGCCTGCTCACTGAGTGTCCTTATATCGGGGTCATCCTTCACCTGCCTGCTCACTGAGTGTCCTTACATCGGGGTCCTTCACCTGCCTCTCCTGTCCTTATATGTCATCACCTGCCTGCTCAGTCCTTTACATCGGGGTCATCCTTACCTCCTGCTCACTGAGGTCCTTCATCGGGGTCACCTTGCCTGCTCACTGAGTGTCCTTACATCGGGGTCATCCTTCACCTGCCTGCTCACTAAGTGTCCTTACATCGGGGTCATTCTTCACCTGCCTGCTCACTGAGTGTCCTTATATCGGGGTCCTGCCTGCTCCTTCCACCTGCATCCTTGCTCAATGAGTGTCCTTACATCGGGGTCATTCTTCACCTGCCTGCTCACTGAGTGTCCTTACATCCTTATTCTGTCTGCTCACTGAGTGTCCTTACATCGGGGTCATTCTTCACCTGCTTGGTCACTGAGTGTCCTTATATCGGGGTCATCCTTCACCTGCCTGCTCACTGAGTGTCCTTACATCGGGGTCATCCTTCACCTGCCTGCTCACTAAGTGTCCTTACATCGGGGTCATCCTTCACCTGCCTGCTCACTGAGTGTCCTTACATCGGGGTCATCCTTCACCTGCCTGCTCACTGAGTGTCCTTACATGGGGGTCATTCTTCACCTGCCTGCTCACTGAGTGTCCTTACATCTGGGTCATTCTTCACCTGCCTGCTCACTAAGTGTCCTTACATCGGGGTCATCCTTTACCTACCTACTTGTTTGGGTTGATCTGTAAACCTTAGGTTTGATGCCAAGACCGTCAGATAGCTACTCGGCCATCAGACTCCTGGACTACCCTGTTCCTGATCAGGACACAGTTTTGTACTACTTGTCCTGCTGGATCGTAGACACAGTTCTATACTTTTTGTCCTTCTGGATCGGGGACACAGTTCTATACTTTTTGTCCTTCTGGATCGTGGACACAGTTCTATACTTTTTCTCCTTCTGGATCATGGAAACAGTTCTATATTACTGGGCTCGAAAGGGCCTTCTTTGGACGCACGGAACAACAGTAGGGGACGGGCCTCGGTGAGCTGGTCCGGGTGTCTAGCGAAAACAGTTTCTCACCCCTTGAAAGTCCTCGTGTCCGAATTGTCTACCAGTGTCTCTATGCCACCTGCTAATAAAAGTCCAACATGTGTCGTGGAAAGAGTTCGTAAGCTTGTTACTTGTCGTGCAGGTATTGTGACTGCTTTAATTAGGCTGCTGCGGCGACTTCTTATCTCACAGTACCTCCTGCAAACCACCAAGTCGTCTTGTCCCTATCCGAAAGTCTGTGTATCTGGTAAGTCTGCCTCATACCAGCCCTGAGCTTCATGAACTCAGGTGGGCCCACCTCCGAAAGCGTCTAGGAATCGTGGACCGAAACGCTCGTTGACGAGGATAATTTCTACTGACGACTGGTAGATCCCTGCTGTACTTGCTCCCTGTAAGTTTATTCCTACTTGTCCAGATGGATCGTGACACAGTTCTATACTTTTTGTTCTTCTGGATCGTGGACACAGTTCTATATTACCTGTTTTGCTTGATTGTGGACAATGTTCTGTACTTTTTGTTTCGCCGGATGTGCTCAGAACATGTTTTCTTTGTCTGTCTGTCTATTCGTAAGTCTGCCTCGTCTCAGCAGTAGCCTAGTGCCGTAGTTGTCAGATTCGACTGTTACAACTTTCTGGACTATGTGCGCCTGATGGTCTGGGACCTCGAACTTGAGCGTGCATTTGTGTCAGGATGAGCTTCTTTAGTCCATAGTTTAAAAGCCAATAGCTGGACACCGGCAGCTTGTGAATTTTCCTTCTGCTAACTTGGTTGTTGTCCCACAGCTGACGAGACCCATCTGTTCAGCGTCTGTGTTACGAAGGAGGCACAGCCAACTATAAAACAACCGCCAGGATGGAGAACTTCAGTAAACAGTGGAAGTAATACCGAACAGCCAGACACAGGATGCATTTATAAGAAAATAAAACTGAGGTCAAAGTAGCCACTGGAACACACCCTATCCACACCCCATCCACACCCCATCCACACCCCATCCACACCCCATCCACACCCCATCCACGCCCCATCCACACCCCATCCACACAATTCCCCATCCACACCCTATACCACACCCGTAAATACACTACTGTCCACGCCCCATCCACAACCCCATCCACGCCCCATCCACACCCCATCCAAACCCCATCCATGTGCCCATCCACACCCCATCCACACCCCATCCACGCCCCATCCACGCCTCATCCACACCCCATCCACACCCCATCCACACGATTCTGAAGACACAGCCAGCCTAGTTACAGGAACGTAATAAGACTAATGTGTGCTGTAGACTGCGAACTCCAGCACAACAATCCGCAGCTGTTATGTTCTCTCTACAAGAGTGTTAAAAACATTGTTTCAGAAATGTGCCCATGCGGACAGGCACCATAATGTTGAATATGTGCTGTAGACATGTTCTCTACATGGAGTGTGGAATATGTGCCGTAGACATGTTCTCTACATGGAGTGTGGAATATGTGCTGTAGACATGCTCTCTACATAGAGTGTGGAATATGTGCTGTAGACATGTTCTCTACATAGAGTGTGGAATATGTGCTGTAGACATGTTCTCTACATAGAGTGTGGAATATGTGCTGTAGACATGTTCTCTACATGGAGTGTGGAATATGTGCTGTAGACATGTTCTCTACATGGAGTGTGGAATATGTGCTGTAGACGTGCTCTCTACATGGAGTGTGGAATATGTGCCGTAGATATGCTCTCTACATGGAGTGTGGAATATGTGCTGTAGACGTGCTCTCTACATGGAGTGTGGAATATGTGCTGTAGACATGCTCTCTACATGGAGTGTGGAATATGTGCTGTAGACATGTTCTCTACATAGTGTGTTTAATATGTGCTGATGACATGCTCTCTACATGGAGTGTTGAATATGTGCTGAAGACATGTTCTCTATGTAAAGTGTTGAATATGTGCTGTAGACATGCTCTCTACATGGAGTGTGGAATATGTGCTTTAGACATGCTCTCTACATAGAGTGTTGGATATGCGCTGAAGACATTTTCTCTATGTAGAGTGTTGAATATGTGCTGTAGACATGCTCTCTACATGGAGTGTAGAATATGTGCTGTAGAGATGCTCTCTACATGGAGTGTGGAATATGTGCTGTAGACATGTTCTCTACATGGAGTGTTGAATATGTGCTGTAGACATGCTCTCTACATAGAGTGTTGAATATGTGCTGTAGACATGCTCTCTACATAGAGTGTTGAATATGTTCTGTAGACATGCTCTCTACATAGAGTGTTGAATATGTGCTGTAGACATGCTCTCTACATAGAGTGTTGGATATGTGCTGTAGACATGCTCTCTACATAGAGTGTTGAATATGTTCTTAAGACATGCTCTCTACATAGAGTGTTGAATATGTTCTTAAGACATGCTCTCTACATAGAGTGTTGAATATGTTCTTAAGACATGCTCTCTACATAGAGTGTTGAATATGTTCTTAAGACATGCTCTCTACATAGAGTGTTGAATATGTGCTGTAGACTTGCTCTCCACATGCAGATAGATACATGAAGACAGGGACATATTACTGCAGACAGATACATGAAGACAGGGACATATTGCTGCAGATAGATACATGAAGACAGGGTTTACTGCAGACAGATATGACAGAGACTGCTAGACAGATACATGAAGCTCTCTGCAGATAGATACATGAAGACAGGGACATATGCTGCAGACAGATACATGAAGACAGGGACATATTACTGCAGATAGATACATCTCTACATAGCAGTGATACATGAAGACAGGGAATATGTGCTGAAGACAGGGACATATGCTGCAGATAGATACATGAAGACATGTTGCAGATATGTACTGAAGACAGACATTACTGCAGCTCTCTACATAGAGTGCATTGAATACATGAAGACATGACATATTGCTGCAGACAGATACATGAAGACAGGGACATATTACTGCAGATAGACACATGAAGACAGGGTCATCTGCAGATAGATACATGAAGACAGGGTTACTGCAGATAGATACATGAAGACAGGGACTCTGCAGATAGATACATGAAGACAGGGACATATTACTGCAGATAGATACATGAAGACAGGGACATATTGCTGCAGATAGATACATGAAGACAGGGACACATTACTGCAGATAGATACATGAAGACAGAGACATATTGCTGCAGATAGATACATGAAGACAGGGACATATTACTGCAGATAGATACATGAAGACAGAGACATATTGCTGCAGACAGATACATGAAGACAGAGACATATTACTGCAGATAGATACATGAAGACAGGGACATATTACTGCAGACAGATAGACATATTACTGCAGATAGATACATGAAGACAGAGACATATTACTGCAGATAGATACATGAAGACAGGGACATATTGCTGCAGACAGATACATGAAGACAGAGACATATTGCTGCAGATAGATACATGAAGACAGGGACATATTACTGCAGACAGATACATGAAGACAGGGACATATTGCTGCAGACAGATACATGAAGACAGAGACATATTTGCTGACAGGGGACATATTGATACATGAAGACAGGGACATATACTGCAGCTGACAGGGACATATTACTGCAGATAGATACAGACATACATGCAGAAGATACAGGGACACAGGGACATATTACTGCTGCAGGGACATATTATACATGAAGACAGAGACATATTGCTGCAGATAGATACATGAAGACAGAGACATATTACTGCAGACAGATACATGAAGACAGGGACATATTGCTGCAGATAGATACATGAAGACAGAGACATATTGCTGCAGATAGATACATGAAGACAGGGACATATTAATGCAGATAGATACATAAAGACAGAGACATATTGCTGCAGACAGATACATGAAGACAGAGACATATTACTTCAGACAGATACATGAAGACAGGGACACAATACTGCAGACATATACATGAAGACAGGGACATATTACTGCAGACAAATAGATGCAGACAGGGACATATTGCTGCAGACATATACACTAAGACAGGGACATATTGCTGTAGACATATACACTAAGACAGGGACATATTGCTGTAGACAGATACATAAAGTGGCAAGCCATTACACTATGGACACAGAGCACTGAACACTCGTATTCAAGGCCATTAGACAGGGGAAGTAGTGAAGAGCTCTAGGGTGTCTCCAGACTGCGATTAAAGCGACATTGCTGTCTAAATTACATTCTTTATCATCTCTGTTATCTATAACTATAACCAGTCTCTGCCCTAACATCCTCACCCACACTCAACGTGTTAATGTGCTACTATCATTGATCATCTTCTGTTTTTTTTTTTTCAAATGTTTCCTGATCCAACCTTCTCAATTCAACTTTCTGTGTATGTTCCCTTCCTCTGCTGGTTCCACTTTCTGTGTATGTTCCTTCCCTCTGCTGGGTACAATTTCTGTGTATGTTCCCTCCCTCTGCTGGGTACACTTTCTGTGTATGTTCCCTCCCTCTGATGTTTCCACTTTCTGTGTATGTTTCCTCCCTCTGCTGGTTCCACTTTATGTGTATGTTTCCACCCTCTGATGGTTCCACTTTATGTGTATGTTCCCTCCCTCTGTTGGGTACAATTTCTGTGTATGTTCCCTCCCTCTGCTGGGTACACTTTCTGTGTATGTTCCCTCCCTCTGCTCGGTACACTTTCTGTTTATGTTCCCTCTCTCTGCTAGTTCCACATTCTGTGTATGTTCCCTCCCTCTGCTGGTTCCACTTTCTATTTATGTTTATTTCTTCTGCCAGTTTCTTGGTATGTTCCCTTTCTCTCTTTTCTCCAGTTTCTTGGCATGTTCCCACCCTCTGTTGCTTCCAGTTTATTGGTATGTTCCCACCCTCTGTTGCTTCCAGTTTCTTGGCATGTTCTCACCCTCTGTTGCTTCCAGTTTCTTGGTATGTTCCCACCCTCTGTTGCCTCCAGTTTCTTGGCATGTTCCCACCCTCTGTTGCCTCCAGTTTCTTGGTATGTTCCCACCCTCTGTTGCCTCCAGTTTCTTGGCATGTTCCCACCCTCTGTTGCCTCCAGTTTCTTGGTATGTTCCCACCCTCTGTTGCTTCCAGTTTCTTGGTATGTTCCCACCCTCTGTTGCCTCCAGTTTCTTGGTATGTTCCCACCCTCTGTTGCCTCCAGTTTCTTGGCATGTTCCCACCCTCTGTTGCCTCCAGTTTCTTGGTATGTTCCCACCCTCTGTTGCTTCCAGTTTCTTGGTATGTTCCCTCTCTCTGCTGGTTCCACTTTCTGTGTATGTTCTTTTCTCTGCTGCCTCAAGTTTCTTGGTATGTTCCCTCTCTCTGCTAGTTCAACTTTCTGTGTATGTTCCCTCCTTCGGTTGGTTTAATGGTATTTATGTGTTCACTCCCTTTGTTGACTCTAGTTTTTTTTTTTTTTTAAGTTTCCTACTTTTGCTGATTCCAGTTCCTTGGCAACGTTTCTCGATTCCCCCCCCCCCCCCCCCCCCCCCACCTCAGATTGCAGGTCATATATTTGCCTGCAGAAATCTCATTATTCTGTGCTGAATCAGTTCTGTTGTAACTTCACCCTCCCCGAGCATCTGTGTTATTGCTACACTTTTACATGCATTGAATAATTTAGACCAGTGACATCTTACAGCTAATATTCTGGAAATATTGTTTTTTTAAAATTTTATGAACATGACTCACAACAATAACTAGCTTCTCAATGTTTCGGTTATCCCTCCAGCAAATGATCTCCTTCTTTCATTAACTTGGTGTCGTGTGGTTTTTATATTTGTCAACAGCCTTCTGTCTCGTTCAAGGCCTATCATTTCTTCTCCAAACATTTTTATAGTGCCCTGTGAAACAGTGTAACATCTTCTCCACCATTCCAGCAGTGCCCTTTGAAACAGTGTAACATCTTCTCCACCATTCCAGCAGTGCCCTTTGAAACAGTGTAACATCTTCTCCACCATTCCAGCAGTGCCCTGTGAAACAGTGTAACATCTTCTCCAACATTCCAGCAGTGCCCTGTGAAACAGTGTAACATCTTCTCCAACATTCCAGCAGTGCCCTGTGAAACAGTGTAACATCTTCTCCAACATTCTAGTAGTGCCCTGTTAAACAGTGTAACATCTCCTCCAACATTAAAGTAGTGCCCTGTGAAACAGTCTAACATCTTCTCCAACATTCCAGAAGTGCCCTGTGAAACAGTCTAACATCTTCTCCAACATTCCAGTAGTGCCCCGTGAAACAGTCTAACATCTTCTCCAACAT